TTTTCTATTTATCATGTCTCAACGTACATATACCAGCCATTATATCACTATTTCCTAGCAAAACTTCTGTGAATAATTTATATAATCCACTAGTAGCATCTCTATAATCTCGCCAAAATAAAAAACTCATTTGATATTATAATTTGCTAATCACATTAGCAAGGCTGTTTAACTAATGAAAAGAGGCGAAGGATCATTTTAACAATGTCAAGATGAAAACGCTATTTGAAGTTTAAAAATAATCTGCTCAATAACTGTAATAAGAAAAAAAAAAACATAGGAATCGTATTCTTGCTACATGTAGTTGAGAACACTACCTTGAGCTCTGAATGAACGAGTTCACTGCCGAATATTTACATGCAGTGTAATTTTTATTTAAATACATAGGAAATCTATAACATTAAAACCCCATAAAACAAACGAAACATTGTCACGGCACGGTAGTATACAATGAGAACTGCAAACACTTTCAACACACTAGGAATAACCAAATGTATATTGTTTTCGGCTCAATGCAATTAAAACAATTACCATATTAAATTGTAAAAATATACAAATGTACGTTTAAAATCATTTTGTTTTTTCCTTTGCAACATTTACTTGTGTTAATGAACTTTCCACGTTAAATACTCTTACGTTTATTAACCACACCAGTTCTGAATAGCGTTGAATTATAATACAGATTAATGAAATTACACTTAAGAAGAGAGAAAATTGAAAATTGTAAATATATGAATTGAATTCTTATTTTTGGATGCCGTCGGTCATATAAAGCACCTTTCCGTGACGACAAATCATCATTCAATTTGTCGGCACGGCCAGGTGCTGTTATTCGACCAACAGCATCCAAAAATAAGAACTCAATGCTTCATTAGAGTTGATTATCTGTGTTGCATGCCCGAGGGTCTATATATACCAGTACACGTCGGAGGTTTGCTGAGAATTTCTATCTACACGTTTTATAAAGTATATTTATGAAATGCATGAATAAAGGATTTATGAATCATGCATCGTTTGTTGTGCATTTGGAACTAATAACTATATAATTTTATAATAAAAAATGCGGTTAAACATACATGTATTTTAATCGTTGAAAGATGTTTTTTTTTTCTCTAACTCCCAGGAGTACTTTTTGTTCTTTGATTCAACAAATCGCAACTTGTAGGTCATTTTCTGAGCATGCATCCACTAAAAACACAGTGAACCTGCTGAATACCTCAAAATATAATTTTGTTGAGTTGCGTGTCAATCTCTCTCTGATCATGATTATAATTGAAATTGAGATAAGTGGTACAGACTTTGTATTTTGGTTTTTTGGTACACGTGTTCTTTTTGACGTCTCTATATGAGTGAAAATTTCTCGAATGGGACGTAAAACAACATACAATCAATCAATCAATCAATCACGTGTTCTTTTGAGTTCATTGTTCTGCTAGTGGCGTATATTCCATATAGCCAAAAAATACGATGGCCGATATCAACCATGTCATTCTACAGTTGATTTAAGTGTAGAATACATTTTGCTTTGTCAGCTTACTCACTGCATGAGTAAAAAGTGTACAATGTGTACGCCAAGATTTCAACACTGTCAGGGCACACATTTTTCGGATGGTGTGAAATGTACATGTTTTTACTCATTGAGGGTTTTCTCTTATCTGCAATTAAAATCTTCTTAAATATAACATAATCCTTGCATCTGGAAACAATAGTAGGGACACAAATGGGGTTAACTTAATGATTCATCAATCTTTCCCTACAAGTATTATCATATAGATTACGTAAACTTCTTTAAATACTTTAAATTTATATAATTAAAAAAATAACTCAAACTTGAATGTCATAAACTTGCTTTGTAAGGGCATAATAATTGTTTAGAATCTGTGCATACTCTACTTATAAATAACAAAAAATATGCTGGAATTAATATAAAATTTCATCATCAGGAAGAAACAAATGTATACTTTTCGGACAATCAGTTTAACATCACTGTTACTTAACAATTACGACACACAATATAAACGACAAACGCAAGCATATTTGAAAGGTACATGCACGTACTCTGCTTTTTAAGGGGGTGGGGGTATTTAAGAGATAAAAATCTCATTTAAAAGAATTAGATTTATATATTCCTGGGAAATAATCATTTTCAGGAATACCAGCAAATGAGAATTCTGGATTTTTTAAGTGGGGGAGGGTACCCAGTTATTAAGAAATTAATGTCAAAATTTCATTACAAAGAATTTCGGGCAGTAGATGACAAATATTCTTCAACAGTTTATAGGTTTGGCCTTCTATACCTTTGACCCATGTAAGGATTTTTCCCTCACTAAAATATTAACAACTTAAATTCAGGAGTATTGTGCAGCAGTACATTTGAGAAGTGATGTAAATCAGATGTGGATACTTAAAAATTCCAAGGAACTTTTGGAAAATTTGAGATCACAAAATTTTACCAAACTCAACAACATAAAACTTACGACTTTTCAACTTTATATACAACCATTCCCCACGACAAATTAAAGTCCGGGCTTTTTGATATCACTGACAGCTTCTTTTTCAATAAAAATGGAACTCGTAAATTTCCTTAGCTTGTCATTGGTCATTTGCAAAATTATTTTGTTAAAAGACATTCTGATTGTACACACAAGTACTCCGAAGTTGATATCAAAAAGATGCTTGAGTTTCTGATTGACAACATCTATGATACCTGGCCCCAAGACGATAAACTGAGAAGAGACCTAAGTCAAAATTTGAAATCAATATAACTTTTGAAATAATTTTGATAATGGAACAAAATTTTCATCATATATTTGAACTTTAATATAATACAAACCTGCAATTTTTTAGGCACATATGTTAAATAAAACTCAAGATATTCGAAATCAAAATTTTGACTTAAGTCTGTTCTTAGTTTATGGTCTTGTGGCCAGGTCTTCAAAAAATCTATTGGAATTACTATGGGTACCAATTGCGCCACGCTATTAGCAGACCTATTTTTGTATTCATATGAAGCAGAATTTGTTCAAAATCTTATACGTGAAAAGAAGAAAACACTTGCTGTGGCCTTCAACTCGACATTTAGATATATCGACAACGTTTTGTCAATTGAAAATGGTTATTTCCATTCTTGTGTCGATACGATATATCCCGGTGATCTTGAAATATAAGACACCACAGAGTCTAACACATCTGTTTCATATTTGGATATTTTACTAGAAAAAGACGTTAATGGTAATCTAACAACCAAGCTGTATGATCAATGTGATAACATTAACTTTTCAATCATCAACGTCCCTTACTTATGCAGCAATATACCTTCATCACCTGCATACGGGATTTATATCTCTCAGTTGATTCGATACGCAAGAGCATGCTCTACGTATGAGCAATTTCTAAAACAGGTAGTTCTTTACAAAAAAATTGATGAAACAAGAATATCAGCAGTCTCGTTTACAGTCATCATTTCATAAGTTCTATGGTCGATACAATGACCCTGTCAGCAAATAAAATTTATCATTAAGTCAATTGCTGACTGACGTTTTTCGTACTAATTGTTAGGCCATTATTTACACACAGAATTGTCGACGGATTTTCCCGTTATTTCCCGATCATGACAAGGAGCACAAGGCATGTGTGACGGGTCGGCAGGGGATGCTCACTCCTCCATGGCACCTGATCCCACCTCTGATGTTTTAGAGGTCCGTGTTTGTTCTGCTCCAAAATTTGTATTGCTTAATTTTGAGCTTGAATACTGTTCGTTATATCTCCGTACATTTCTTTCATGTTTAAACTTTATTGCCTCCGTATACTTTACTCAGTTGCAAGCAACGAGTAAGCTGACAAATCAAAATGTACATAGCACTGACATTGTACACTTAGATCAACTGTAGAATGACATGGCTGATATCAGCCATCGTACAAAAGGCTTTAGCCCACACATCATTTTCTCAAGGGTAAAAAAAAAATATTTATATATACATACTTGTTGAATAACGGGGAAAAGGTTGATCATGAATCTTGTCAATTAATTTTATTTTATTTTGTTTTATGTTTTTTGTTTATGTATTTATCTATTTTGGATATCAAATTTTATATAGCTATGAAAAGTATAAGGATATATATAAATAGTAGCAGGAAAATATATTCAAGCTGAAATTGACAAGCTATCATGAAGTCCATAACAAACTATTTAAAAAAAAATTACAGCAACATTAGCCCAGGATTAGACCAGGAAATGGAAAATAATTACTGGTAATATTTTCGCCTTAATACATTCAATGTAAAACAACATATTGGTAGTGTTTAGATTATTCAGTAAGGAAGATTCCATTTTTCAACCACAGGGGGCAACCCCCTCCGCGCCTATCCACAATGTGACTCTTGGGATGTTAGATTAAGTGCTTGACTTCACATTAGCCTACACATCAACAGAAAGGAATATACACATGTACACCGTTGATTACTCGATAACTTAATCATTGAATTAAAATTTTTTGTATATTTCCTCCAATAAAAGAGAACATGCCATTTAATATTCTATTAACTGAAACTTCGTTCACACAATTCTCTAAAATGTACTGAGAAACATCGACGGCTATTAGTTTAGGGACATTTAAACTTTTATAAATCTCAAACTGAAAACATCGGAAGTCATTACGCATACAACATTTAATTAATTTACGTAATCATTCTTTAGAGAATATTAAAAGGTACAAATTTAAATACTCTCATCTTCCGATGATTTCTGCACGTGAAAAAGTTTAAATTCAGTCAAGGGGATTTGTATTGTTCGTGGATTTTCCAACATGTGCATAAGCCTCTGTTGTACTAAGTACCGCAGATCATTTAACATTATTGCATGTTTATATTGAATCTGTGCAGTTTAATGGCCGCCAAAACACGGGATAATGTCTTAGGGTAAAGAAATAAGAGGATTAATTAATGGAGCGCTCCCCTACATACTACAAACAAAATATCTCGTCTGTAATGCAATGATGGATTTGTAAACAAAATAGTTTTAGTTTCTGAATTTTTTACTATGTTGTATTCGATGCATTGCTGAATCAGTGATGACGTCCGAGGCGGATGGTGGTAATACGGGAACGGATTGTGGATTTGGTGAGGTGGAGTCACCAAGGACTCGAGCCCGATCTGTGATGAATACAAAACTTTACGGAGTCAGACCCCAGAGTGCAACGTCAACCAGAATAGTCAGTGCTAAAAAAGGTGCGTCTCCCCCCCTTCTCTCTCTCTCTCTCTCTCTCTCTCTCTCTCTCTCTCTCTCTCGAAAAATGGTTTTAATTGCCTTTTCTTTTGCTGAAGAAAAGGTTGACTATTTTTTTTATATTGATTACATCATGCACTAAAACTTGTAGGTGAAATTTATCTAAAATGGATATAAACAGATTTCAAACGTAAAAAAATATAAAGTTAAAAAACTAATCACAATAAATGAGAAAGAATCCTGTAATTCATATTCCGGCTTAATTCTGAAATAACTTCGTTGCGTGGTTGTTGTTTAAACGCAAATCACGAATATTGGCGATAAATGAAACCAAAGCTGACGGCACTGAAATAATTCAACCAGTTGGTACCGATAACATTAATTCATTGTGAATTGAAGTACTGGGGGTATAGAGAGAGATAAAATTCGGGGACTTAAATTGTTAAACTGTAAATTGTACAATTGCCTGAGATTTTAGGGATGACTATGTAGTTATTCTACATACAAGAATAATTCTTGTTAGCGGTAGCAGCGATTAATTAAATCTCTTAGTAATCTAATTTCATGAACGTCTTGACAATTCAGGAAATAGATTGTGTCAAGTTCATTATATATGGAAGTACATGTACTTTAATGCATGTATTTAATGCTAAAAATCTCCTGATTTATATATATATAGAGAGAGAGAGAGATGTGTTACTCGTACACTATGTTTCAATTTGATTTTTAAATAACTGTATTACACACAGGAAACCTGCATTGTTGGTGTTTTGAAATATCAATGATATATCTATACCCGGCATTTTATAGCCCCTTGAAAGGAAAGTTTGTATTTTCTAATTAAATTTATAAAACTAATGGACAAAACCAAAACACTCCTAAAAATCGACGGTATCACAGGTAATATAGACATGCAAGTTGCCGTATTAATGGCTACAATACATATGTCCAGAGAATTCTTGCAATAGCAAATCATTGTTAGTATCTTACATTCTAGCAGATCTGGGTTTTTTTTCTTTTCCAGAGGATGTTTCGGTACTCAGTCATTCAAGTCTAATGACCTTTAGCTCGTTTGTGAATCAACAAACAATTGAACAGATCGGACTCAAACTTGGCGTTCCCAAACCTGTTATCACTAGAATAAAAAATCACGTAGTCGATGAGGTTATTGGGCTACATGAACCACTCGTTGTTCAGAATTTTCAAATACTCTGGGCTTGGCGGGGCCGGAAGTCAACAAAGAAAATGGTGGAACAACTTCTGAATGTTTTACGCGGAATAAATAAATGGGAGCTTGCTGTGATTGTCAGTGCTGCGCACAAAGAAAACAGGAAAATCCGAATGAGGGATTTTAAGTAAAATGTGTTCAGTATATAATGGATGATACTAAAGCCTGATCTAACGTCTGTATTTTCTATGAGAGACAAGGACTCTGCTAGCAATCGCGTGTTATAGTGCAGAAATTGAGCAAGTCATGAAGCAAGATCGATATGCCAAATCCCTTTGATTCATCTGAGAATGTTGTTAAGGAATATCAAAAAACTAATTCATTATATGTGATGTATGGTATTTTTGATTCAAAATAATTGTAAAATTAATTTGAAATTAGTTATAATTTTGCAATTATCAGCCTTTAAATTATTTTTTGTAATTTTATTGTGTGCAAAGTGTGCTATTCTTTTTGCACCATTTTTTTTATTATATGTACATGTATTAATGAATTTTGAACTACTTTTCTTTAATTATTTTTAACCAAAATACAGTGTAAAAACTGGTACTACTCAGTAATTGTAACGGATTCGTTAAACGACTCCTCTACTCCCTTGTGGTGCTTCATTCCCTACAAGTTTCAATGACGTAACCAATGCCATTGTGTAATAAAACTTCACTTATTTCCCAAACTACATTTTCTGATCACAACGTAGATAGAGCCATGCAGTATTAAACAATCATGTGTTTGAATTCACGTGTTTTCAAGAATGATCACGCACACTCCTATAGGTACCCATAATAAAGGGCTACATTTAAAATTAATAGAATTAAATTGGAAACTTAACATGTTTCTGATAAGCAGTCGAAATATTCATCAATCAGAATGTACGTATGCATTTATTTTTGGTGAAACCTTAATGCAGGGAAGAAAATAAATTTGCCCACACTCTGATCATGAATTGTGTCTTGTTTCCTTGAAAACTGCAAATAAAATTAGAGCCATTTAGAACGACCCAGTCTGTTTTCAGCGATTTTGCAGATTGCAGGCATTTTTTTTAAGATCTCTCAGATGTATCTTTCTAAATAATGTTTTATAATATATATCTATAATGGGTTAAATTTCAGACTATTCCATTGATAAGAAAGAGAAATGTCGTCATTAAATAATTAGCCAATCAGAATTGAATTCAGAACATCTGCATGCATATCCTTGCATTTAGTGTATAGTAGGTAAATATTAAACTTGTCTCTATATTCTTAATTTCGTCCTGTTTTGTAGAAAACTATGAAAGTTTTGGTCATTTAAAGTTTCAGCCAATGAAATTGCAGCACATGTACACATGCATGCGCGTGTTTAAAGAAATTTTGTACACATGTATGTCGTATTGAAGAACCTCATAATATTTTTATATTTTAATTTTCATAATATTTTGTCAAAAACAAGAACATTATTGAGATTTTTGTATGTGCACGCGCAAGAGTTCATGCCAATCCAACCATGTCATTTTGTCTTGGGTATTAATATTTGTTTATGTACAGAGTTTCAAAGTAATTCATACAGGGCATTACATTTAAAGCTTTTTCAATTATATCAGTTATTTCACTCATCACATGCGCAGGCGCGTGCAAAATGTTCTTCGTTCCGCACATTTCCACAACATGCCTTTGTCGCCCGCGTGGTTTTAGCGTCTGCTCTAGAGTCGCGGAGTAAGGAGCTGATCCTTACGTCGCGGGTACGAATCCTCTGTGGGACGTGGAGACCGGTTCTTCGGATGAGACCGTATAAACCGAGGCGTATAAACCGAGCAGTAGGTGTTGGCACAAAAAAAGGTCCCTCTCTGCTTATTGGCCCTAAGTGCCGAGTATAGGTCTAAATTTGCAACCTTCCACCGGCAAGTGGTGGCATCTCCATATGAGTGAAAAATTTTCGAGAGGAACGTTAAAAAATAATCATTCAACATGCCTATTGACCCTAAAATGATTTCATCTCAATCGGATGATTTGTTTCCGAGAACACTCGCGACCGTACAAAAAAAAAAAGAACTACGTGTACCGAAGAAGAAATAAGTAACGGAGTTAATCAATATGTGCCCCAACTTTGTTTGGGGAACATAATAATCGAAAATTCATGGTTTTTTTAACCGAACTTGAAATAATCTTTTCACTTACCTCTACAGTCTTCATTTATTCGTGTATAATTACGCGCGTCCTTATTATAGAGCCATATATGAATTTAAAGATGAAAATTCGTTATCTTTGCTAGAGGGGGAAAGAGAAATTGAATGCTTATCCCAAGTCTATAAACAGAATTCATGTATTTCTTTCTTTGTTGGGTGGTGGTTAAACTTAAAATTTTCACATTTAAATATTTCTTCTTATTATGATTCATATAAAACATAAAACTATTTTTTTTCTATGACTTCTTTGAAAGTTATTTCTAAAATGACTTTGTGATTTATGCATTAAATTGACAAACATTTTTACTTAAAAATATATAAACAGTTTTCAATCGATATGTGTCCGGTGCACAAGTACTTAGTTAAACGTATATAGGACTAAATCTAATGAAATCTAAACGTTATCTACTAGTATTCAATACAAATTATGCAAAGTTGAATTTATTTTGGCTTTATTGCTGTTTGAACTACAATTATAACGTACGCACAATATATACTTTTAACCTGTAATTTTTTTATGCTCCCGTATCGAAGATTTTGGGTATATAGCTTTTGCCCTGTCCTTCCATCTTTCTGTCTGTCTGTTTGTCTGTTTATCCGCAAATACTTTAACCTTGCCCATAACTTTTGATTGGTTGAAGGTATGGCTTTCATATTTCCCAAGTGTATTCCTTGTGGGAAGACCATTCTTTGGGTACCATCACATTTCACCTTTTGACCTTGACCTTGGAGTTTGACACAGTTTTTTCAAAATTTTACCCAACTTTAACCTTGGCCATAGCTTTTGAACAATTGGCGCTAGGGCTTTCATACTTCACATATGTAACTCATGTGACAAGTCTTTCCTGTGGATACCAACAACTTTGACCCTTTGACCTTGACTTTGGAGTTTGACCTACTTTGGAAAACTTTAACCCTGGTCATACATGTAACTTTTGAACGGTTGGTGCTAAAGCTTCCATACTTCACATAATTATTTAATCCTTGTGACAAGATCTTCTTTTGGATACCAACAACTTTGACCCTTTGATCTTGGAGTTTGACCTACTTTTTTTGAAAACTTTGACCTTGGCAGAACTTTTGAACAGTTGGTGCTAGGGCTTTCATATTTAAAGACATAACTTTTGACCGATTGATGCTTCCGCTTTCATTCTTCGATTGCCTATTTGTTGGAAAAGCGCCTTTCCTTGGGCACCATTGATTTTGACCATTTGACCTTCTGAATCACCTTGATGTTTTTCATACTTTTGAAAAAAAAAACTTTTTTATATCTATTTAATGGTTGCTGCCAGGGCTTTCATATTTCACAAGTATATTCCTCGAGACAAGACCTTATTTGGTTACCAACATATTTGATTTGCATTTGAGAAAGTTTAATCTTTGCTATAAGTTGCCATACGATGGCATCAGTGTTTCACAAACTTATTATCTTGTTGTTTTTTTTTAGATTTAAATCTGAAATTGCTAGTCCGAAGTAAATTTTCTTTATTTATTTTATATGTTGTGGATCTTCTCAATTTAGCATTAATTATATTTAAAACATGATTGTGACATAAACCTTTTGTTGGGGTTGTCCATTCTATAGCTTAACGTTGAGCTAACTCTCCAAAAAATCCATTAAATCACCTGTAATTCATTATTTTTGGAAAACTGTCCTTTCTTTTTAAGAATGGACAGGTTTTTTTTCCAAAGAGAATGGACAGCTAAAACAAACAGAATGGAGAGTTACTGGTAAACTTTGGAATGTGCCCAAGAGGAAACAAAAACAAATACATTAAATACGATTTAATTTACAAGTAAATAACAAAAAGAACACGGAGATCAAAGTTAATCTAGAACACGATGTCTGCACAGCATCTGCTCGATTTTATACTTTTAAATCCTAACAAAGCCCATTATTTCAACACTCAAAACTCAATTTTCACAAAACTTGAACTTAAATGACACAATTTCACATTTGATTTAAATTTCGAAAACATCATTCTCTTTAGAAGAATCCATTTTAAGAATTAAGTACCGTAACGGCTAATACTAAATCCACCACCTAGAAAACAGTTTGCACCATGAGCACTACACTGCTTCCGTAGAAAATAATTAAAATTGAAACATTTTCAGATTTGATTTGAAATACATTTTCAGGTCGAATTTGGCTCATGACAAATCCAACACATAGAACACAATTTGCATCTCACCATTACACTGCTGCAGTCAATATATCCTCAAAAATTGAATTCATATAAAACATTTCCAGGTTTGATTCGAATTTGATTATCTGTATCTGTCGAAGCAGAAATTCATTTTTGGATCAAAGTTCGGCTAATATTTTCTTTACTGTTACTATTCTCTGTTCCCAGGTCCAATTATCACCGATTTTGTGCATCTTTTAGTTCATCAGATTTTGATTCTGTCATATACTCTCTCCATCGGAGGAAAACATGCATGCCTTTACAACGCAAACTATTAACTGATTTTGAAGCATCACATCCTTGTATAAATACTTGTGTCCCCCAAAATCCACCTGTAACTGTCCATTCTTTAGACAAAAACCTTCTGTTATTTGCATTTGAAAACACAATGACTATTCAACGAATTGCTGTGCATCCTAGCTCACCTGTGACTGTCCATTCTGTAAACAATGAATTTGTCATTGTATGTGTGCTACCTGTCATATCTGATATCAGTATTGTACATTTTTATTTAATTCTTAGAACAAAGGAAATCATGTTTCAAGTAGGAGAAAGGTCTAAAACTGTCAATTCTGCGAGAGAAAGTACTATTATACGGCCCTCGATTAGTTATTTCGCTCACAGAATGGACAGTTTGAGGCATTTCTCCTTTACGTATACATGTATAAGGAACTTTCAATGAATAGAATTTAAAAATCTCCTAAGAGTGTACATATACGCCATACATGTTTGACTCTACGATTTTATCAACTTTATGCATATCAACTTTTACCATAAATGATTTTCATCTATTGAAGTATAAAAATCTACTTGATGAAATATGCTTAAAAAGATTTCATAATACTTTTAAGACTGTACATATTTTATACTCATTATTAAGATTATTATTTTTCTAGCATTTCATTTTTTTTTTTTTTACCATAAAAACTAAACTTTCTTGTGAATGGCGCAATCAAAGGGAGGTAAGATTTCAATGTTTAAATATACCTGATAAATATTTATTCATCACACATTGCACGAGCTACTTCAACCATGACGGCCCTATGAGAAGTGTAAAAACATCGTTAATTGTCTTTTCTAATTAATTCTATTTTATATAGCCTTTTTCTAACCAAAAATTGCTTCTTGATATTATTCGACAAAAAGTAGTCCATGTTTAAGTACTTTGTTTTAATCTGTAACCTTTGGTTTTACCGAGTTTAAATTGACAGATAAGATCGTGTTTATTTATATCACCTGTATTTTACATACAATGAGTCACCAACGTGTAGATTCACTGGAAATTTTGAACGGAATTAAGAAATGAAGAAAAGGACTGATGGATCTATGGAGTTTATTTCTGTTGGTATTTATGACAGTCTGTGACTTTTTTCTTCTGGTCAGAGCAGGTTTGTGCTGTAAGAGTACATATACATATATAGACGAGGTTCAGTTCTAGTATACCTTTTTAAATATTAAAGGTCATTTCGCTACTCCGATGTTTATTTTGATTTATGTCAAAGGAATTTAAGCTTTAAACTGTCTTGAAAGTAAACGTTAAGGGTTTTTTCTTCCGGTGGTGTTAATTTGAATAAACGTTTATTTTGGGTTATCATCTTACGTTTGTGTTGACGAGTTGTCATTCAAACTAGTTCCATACAAGTAGTTCAATCTAAGTGTCTGAATGTTAAGGTCGTAAAACTCTTTCTTCGTTTCTTACCTTTTTTAGGTACAAAGTACAAAGCTGTTTGTTAAGTGCACACAGAAGAAAACTTTTATTTTATTTTAATGAAAGCTTTTTTTCTGATAATAAATAAGCTTCGAGCAATTTATTGCAGTCATATAATCAAATGTACATCAAACTCACACGGATTTCATACTATATAAAAGGCGTATACATGTATTATTAGTCTTATTGGCATGACAAATAAACGTATGATTTCATGACTCCCAAATAGTTGTATTTCTATTGTACCTCCTATTTGAGTTTTGCATAATTTTTATAATCCTAACAAGCAAACAAATTGATAAAATATGCATGATCAGATTAATAATATAATAGGATAAATAACCAAAACAATCAACTTTTACGGGGAACATTTACAATAAAATGTAATCCGTCTCTTGACCTATAAATCAGTGCATATGTACATTTTGTCTCTTTTTTCTATTATTCTAGACTTGATAAGCACACCCAGCACTTGTCGACAAGATTCAAATAAAGCAGGTATGTATGTGTCAATTTTTCAGGAATTATATCTGATTAACATGATGAATAAGGGGTGAGTAAATCAACATACAGGCCAAACGCTCACCTGAGTAGCCCTTATCCTGACGAAGAATACGAAACTCCTTTTGTTACTTGTTGTGATTACCAAAGTTAAGTCCATTATATTACATGTAACAACTTTAATTTAGAGTATATTGGGGTTTCATGTCAACTTTACGTAGTCTTGTTCTAACTAATTTAAATACATTATTGTGAAACATTGTCACGATTATAACCCCATATTGCTTTAAACAAAATTGAATCACTTTTTTTGCATGGGGATGTTTTGTCATCAATCTGCAAATGACTATTATTGGTCATTCTCATTATACTTACCATTGTCAGGCCTTTGGTTTTATAAAAAAAATGACAAACGGAATGTTCCGTATACCTGATCAATACATAGGGTTCAGAGCGGGTTTGATCGGTCAACAGGGGATGCTTACTCCTCTTAGACACCTGATCCCATCTGGAACTTCTAAGAGTCCCTTTTTTATGCCCTGTTTAAAGATTTGTATTGTTTGTAGGTTTCTTTTGTGATTGATCACTGCTCGTTATTACTTATCAATTTTTTTCCATAATCATGTACATTTCTGTTATATCCGTTCATAGATGCATAAAACAAACATATATGTAATTGTATACCGTATACAATAAATTCTTAATTTAGAAAATGTGTAAATTAAAAGCCTTATCTTTCTTTTATCTTTTCATTTGCAGATCGCTCTACATGGGAAGCATGGAATCTAGTTATTTATATCCTTATAGGAGCGGTTATATTTTTTGCATTCTGTTGCTGCATTTGCGCAGTAAGTATGCATATAAATACACAAGGTTTATTGCTTCTTCTTTTTTTTAAAAATCATTTTATAAGGGCAAAGGAAACGTTTCTGGATTAGGGACAAACTTTTCCAAAAAATCTTTCGTGGGATACTAATGTGTCTTTGTAAGAAATAACTGGCACAACCAGCACCTCTTTCCATACTTTTTGTTTCAAAATTGCCCAAAATGTACATATCATTTACATTGGGTTCAATGTAAATAAAGGAAAAAATAACATAATTCTTTATGAAGGAGCAATTTCTGAATAAGCAAGAAATATAATTCATATTTATGTATTTACATTTCCAAATATTTTTCTTTAAGATTCTTTGCAAATTAGAAAAAAATCATATTCTCATGAATTACCTTGGGATGAGTAAGAATATTTTCATTGTGATGTGATTGAAGTAAAAAAAATAGTGCAAACTTTATTTTTCAAAAATGATCGTTGAATGACAAAAATATGTGGCAAGTCATCAAAAAAAATAGTGTAAATATAAGATATTAATTTGATTTTTGAGAATTCATGAGGTACATGAACTATACAACGCTTCACGCCTGCATATTTATCATGAAGTGCTAACGCGCTTCATGAAATATGCTTGCGTGAAGCGTCGTAGTTCATGTCCTCACGAATTCTCAAAAATTAAATTCATAATTCATTTCTTAAATGATACACACTATTGTATGTTAATTTCATATGATATCCTGTTAAAAAAGTAATATTTACCAATAAATACAAATACTATGCGTCTCTACTGATGTACTTGCTCTACTATTTGAGAGTCACTACCCTTTGCTACACTTTATTCAATAAGTAAAAACTAAATAGAGGTCATTGTAAATAGCAAATTTAATTACACATGCTTTTAAGATATACATATAATAGTTTCCCAGAGCCAGCTTTTTTTTTTTACCCAGAAGCAACACTGAGAAACTCTGGCTCTGTTTTGTTACTTGATATCATCTTTAGATGTATAGATTGTATATTGAACTTTTCCTGACACTTTACAGAAGTAACATTGGTGTAGAGTGTACATGGAATTTGGCAATGTCACTGTACACTTTGTACCCTTTTACTTTAATGTGTTACGTGTCAGTGAGTTTTTAGTGAAAATGTTGTACCTGTTACGCACAGAACGTTTATGTAAAACCATATTGAATTTTCTTCTATCCAATGTTGTAACTCGTAATTTTAACCATTTTTCATGACTTTTCAAAATCCATCCATAGTAACTTAAGATATAAAATGTCAGGTTTAGATTATTTATGATATTTTTGTGTTCTACTCTTTTCAGCATTTCGTTAACTGGAAGAGAAACCGGAAACAAGCATCGGAGAGTAACACCACACCAACCATGTGGAGCACCGAGTCAAGCGCCGGAAGTCACTATTACAATGCTCATGTAAACCTGGGTTTTTCATCTTCAGGTAACAATATACAATTATAAACTCTTAAGGTGGTTAATATGGTCTGATATTCCCCGAAAAAATATCAATATTGACCAAAGCAAACCATATGATAATGCTTATTGCTAACAGCATAATGGAGAATTTACATTAAATTTTCTTACAATAAAATGATTCAAAATATCTGAGGTAAGATTGTTGAATCAATCTTTGTTATAAATACGTTATGTTGTTATTCTTCAAAAGCAGGTAAAACCAATTTTTAATGTCATATGATCCAGACTTTGACATATGCTTCAATTAGTTCCAAAAAGACATCTCAGAAAAGCAAAGGAAAATTCATTGTTAAGGATTAGATAGCAAAATCCATTTGCCGACCGAAGCTAAAGAAGTTTTGTCTGACTTCAGAAACTAAGCTATTTTTTACATATATATGAAGAGATTATTCATTACTGGAGCATGTTGATTTACAAAGATTATATATATATATAATTTGAAAACCTCGAATGACCTTATTTGACACTCTTCCAATGGTTAGGGGTAAATAGGTTAAGCAGTGTTTGGCCAATTTCTACCCAATAGTTTAATGCAAGAGTTGTGTAAAGTTGACAAACTGCATAATTCATTGTTGATTAATTTCAACGGGTAGGTCTTGAGATTGATTGTAACTTTAGCAAAAGAGTAAAAATACAGTTAAACTTGTTTAATCCGGACACTACTGGATCCAAAGAAACTGACTGGATTAGACAAGAAATAATTTATTGAAAGAGAATAAAATTTACACCGTATTAAGCAAGATTTTAGAATACACAATATCCGGATTAGAGGGTTTCTCTGTACATTCGATGTATGCAGAGTAATTTTCAAAACAGACGAAAAATTGAAATGATAATTCATAATAGAAAAAAGCATGAATACAACATGGATATACATTAAAATATATCAACCAACCAGATTAAATATACTACCAGCCATTACATCTACGTCTTAATGCATTGCCAACATGAAAAATTATTTCTTGTGCAAAAAGTAATAGTTTTAAATTATAATTTCAGATACAGATAACAGCAGCACTGTCCCTTCTGCACCATTATATACCGGATATGATTTGCCACCTTCTTACGAATCTGTTATGGAACAAACAAATAGAATAAAGGACCATTAGACACAAATTTTAAATTTAGATTTAAACATTTATGAAGATTTGTGCAGATAAATTTGTATCTAAATATATTTTTACGTACTCATAAGCATGATAATATTCTTTTATTTTTGTTCTGTTATATCAATAAATATATTACTTGTGTTGCATATTCTCAACTACGTTTTTCTAAATATATTGAAGTAACATTTCAACTTGGGTTCATCTTTAGAGTCAAGTTAATACACAAAGTATCATTTGAGCAAAAATAGGCCTTAAGACATTTCTGTGATGTCATGCATTCGTTCTTGCGGTCCAAAAGTTTAATATCTGTAGCAAGTCTGATAATAATAATTATTAGTCCACTATATTGTAACGTGTAACCTAAGAGTTCGTTTTCAAAGGGAAAAGGGTCTTAATTTGGACAAGTATAAATAAAATTTTCCTCTGGCTCTACTTGAGTCTATGATTAATACTTGGAATTAATATTATTTGCAATGATTATTGTTGATTTACTGCGTTACTTGTCCCGTGTTCTAATTTTTTACAGCGGTGACACAAACTGAGGTTCTTTCTTACTGGGTTAAATGTAGAGCTGGCTGGGCACTGGCACTGAGTTCCACAACCAAGTTCTAAGACTACTCGGTGTCTCACCCTTATTCAGGAGTACTGCACCTCGTATCTCCCAACCCCCTGGTTTACTTTTCACTTGTGCTACTACTTCCACCCTAGTCTTTCAAACTTTTCTCACAATGGTCACTTCAATAATTACCTTCTCTTCTTCTTTAGAAACTTCCAATCAATATAGACGTCTAACTTCATAATGACAAATACTGCCTCTGCAGCCTTTTATATGGAAAAGGGCTATACCATCCAACCAGGTGTGAACAGGCTCCTGGACTATACCATTAGTCATAGTCACCTCTTTGGAAGGTATAGGCCCATTGTATTACTCATTACAATATTATTTTTTGCATAACTCCTTGTCATTTTCATGATATTATGTGTTATTATGTGTTATTCTTAATCTTTTGATAAAATGTATTTTTTTTAAAATAAATAAACAATATGAATTAATTTAACTTTATCATCGTTTGTTTTCACTGATAACATGAACGTTATCTTATGTTACATGTAAGTAAATCAAATTATACACATGTAGTCATTACATATTTAAGAATGCATTTGGATTGAGTAGACGTTTTTTAAACCAAAATTATCTGCATGAAGAAAATTGGAATTAAACATCTTATTGCAAAGATCAGCTATTGGATCTTTTTTTAGAATTTAATATATAGTGTACAGTATTAGTTTGTTAGTTAAATGGTAAAATATGCCAATCACTGATTTTCATACTGACACATTTGATTTGAATTACGCCTACCTCTTAATTTCTGTAATTTTTTAATCTTGTTGATATCATTCTTCTGATTCAAATATAATTCTCCCAGAATTTTCTTATCATTTAAAAGAGACTCAGGGGAGACATTGACATAATAAGTTAATGTTTAGGGAAAATTGCTTATTTTCAATACTTGTAGAATTAAGGAATATCTCTTAGCACGAATAAAAGTAGCAATAAAATTTAAATTAAATAGTGGAACTTATAATTCTATTTTTTTCTGGTTATTTCATATTTTCTATGAAGATCATAAACAGTTTCACTTTGGTGAGAATAATTATACTACTGAGATTAAAACTTTTTATATAAAATTCAACTAATTCTACTTATGTTTATTGCAAGTCTATTTGGCTATGGTTTCCATGTGATATTCTGTACTTAACAGCGGCAGATCCGGGAATTTCATAACGGGAGGGGATATAGTAGAAGGCAAGGGGTCTGGGGGCTGTATTGAAGCCCCCAGTGGGTCCAGAGCAAAGCCCTGATGGGGAAACTGACGAATTCTAACAAATAAGAGGTGTTTTCCCTTGATTTTAGGATAATACAAACAAAGTTTCAAAAAGAAATCAAACGGGAGGGGGGGGGGGGTGCACGCCCAGCACGCCGGTGTAACGACGAAAAGTGTCCCCCGTAGAATATTGACCGGTGGGTCAAATTTCTCCTTAGAAAAATGACCTCGGTCAATTTTCTACGACAAGTAGGTCATTTTTCGACCGTAGAAAACTCTTCCAGGCCGGTAATTCTACGACTCCACACACGTTGAAAAATGACCCCCATAGAAATCTGACCCCCTACTTTTTCACTATATTTTATAATTAAACCTTTAGAAATGAGATGTGATATGCGTTAATCCGATGTTTTGGAGGGTCGATGAAGGCCTACAGTTTCCTGATTTTTTTTCTTTCAAATGTATATTGTGGGAGGAGCAAAGTACCTTCCCCTCCTTAACGCCACTTCTCAAGAAAAGCATGATATACAATGAACGTTGTTTTTTTTTTTTTTTTTTTTTTGTTTGTTTGTTTGTTTTTTGTTTTTTGTTTTTTTTTTTTTGCTTGCATCCCATTGAGTATACATTATTGAGGAGCATAAATTCATAATTCATATATTCATACCAAGAAAAAAAAGCAGAACGGATTTTATATATATATATATATATATATATATATATATATATATATATATATATATATATATATATATATATATATATATATAAAATCCGTTTTGCTTTTTTTTCTTGGTTTTTGTTTTCTTTTTCTCACAGGTTTTGTTCCGAAAATGACATGATATGTTTACTGACAACGATAATCCTGTTTGGAATGGGTGTTATCGGAAACTATTCAAAGGACAAGTTTGTGGCCCCATACTTCTAGCTTAAAATTTGTGCCCACTTCCAACCTGCCTCCACCCCAGTTTTTACATGTATCAGTTTCTGGATACACCACTGCATTGAAACAAAAAACGTATTGTATTATTACTTTTAGACAAGGAAAAAATTAGAGAAAGCACGGCATATGAAGTGTCCAATATGGAGATACTATCATTAAATGTAATTATATTTACTGCTTCATTTTTATATCATGTAATATCTTTTTTACCTCTTTTAGGTTCATTTATCCTCATTTATTACATGAACATTAATACCCCCGCTTCGAAGGAAATGGGGGGTATATACACTGTACCTTGTACCCTGCGAATCTCTCTGTTGTGTGTGCGGGGTGAGTGTTTGTGTCTGTCTGTCTGTCCGAAACAATTATTTTCGTTGCAGTTTTCTCTGCAACAACTCATGGCATATGCTTGAAATTTTAATACACTCTTCGGCATGCTATACAGTGATATTCATTTTGGTACAAGTCTTGTCCGTCTGACTTTGCGGGTGGGGTATAACTAGGGAGCATTGGCTTATAAATTTCTTGTTTCCCCTGTAATATGTGTACTCACAATTATTGTCTGTATAATTATATTATCTCTATTGTAGGGAAAAACGAATGTATCTAAATAACGTTAACTATGAATCACTATATATATTGTTAGTATCAGGATCGCTATATGAAAAACACTGATAGTCTCTAACAAAAAAACCTACAGTTTACCAAAGTTAACCATAGTTTGATGTAGTATCAAAGTTTTTGCTACAGTAAATCAAAGTATTTTTTTTTATATATGATATTTTATGTTCTTAAACTTATATGTGCACATTTTTTATATTTTAGGGAACTACGAAGGGTGATCAAAAAGTTCGTGATCTATCTCGTTATTTACAAAACCACAGTTCAGATCAAAATGAAATTTGGCACACATTTAGTCATAATCATGTTCTATAAATAGCAGATATTTGCTCCACGTTTGGACGTCACAATATAAAAATGACTTAATATGTAGATGACGTGACAAAAAAATGGTTGACTCAGTCATACTTGAGCAAAGAACGGCTTTAAAGTTTAACGTTTATTTTAGAAATTCCTTTTCAGTAGCATATAAAAATTTGTACACGATTTATAAAGACAAAAAGAATTGGCAGAAGTTCAATCATTAATTGGATTGATTGTTTTAGTGAAGGAAGGGAGGTGATTAAAATGGTGTTTATTCTGGTGCCCAGTGAAAGCAAGCTTGGGACGAGATGTGTCCTTAGTTGAGCAATCTGTAACAAAAGATCACCAAATTACAGTTAGATAAATAGTTGAATATCTTAACAATAATACAATTATTAAATCCCTAAAATATCGTTTATCTTAGATTTTAAACATATCAAATATGATAAAAAGAAGGTGCCCATACTTTATCCACAATGGATAAACGACGCACCCCAATACAAAAGAGTTGGGTTGTGATGGTCTCTATGCTCATTCTGGGAAAAGATATCCTAATCCACCAATCCTTTTTGTGACAAATGGGCTATTCTTGTTTTAAAAAATAACTTGTATTTTAAGAAATATAAGACTCAGAAAAATCTTTTAATTTCTGTGAACAGAACGCTACGGAGCATGTCACGTGACCGCCTGGATCACGTGATTTGCGCATGGGCAGAACGATGGCAGATGTGCATTCAAATCGGAGAGGACCAATTTTCAAAAATAATAAACATTTAAATCTGATTTTATTTCTTTTATGGAAGTAATTCAATTAGTTCGCGAACTCTTTGATAACCTCTCGTATTTCTTGTTCATTAACATATCATCTCAAAATTTTACATTACTGATATCAACTTAAGAAAGTTTCAGCTTTGAAGTCTCAATAAAGTTCCAAACAAAGTTTCATAGTTAATCAAAGTATCAAAGTATTTACTATAGTTAATAATAGCAAACTATATAGTTAACTAAAGTTTACTACAGTAAATTTTTGTTAGGAGTGCCCTTCGACTGTGATAGAAATACTGGCAATATACTCCCCTTCCTTGATCATTATATAGATACTTATGTATAATCTACATCATCATGCACATATGCATTATGTAACTTCTTATAAGTAGGATTTTTGTGTAAGAAAAAAAGTTTTTTGTTTACTTTTATCCTAAAAACTCTTACATTTTTAAAACCTCGTATCACACAGCAAGATCGCTTAAATTGTGTATAGGAAAGACATGGCCAGATTTGTTTTCTATAGGCTAGCAAATTTAAAGAGTGGGTAACATCCTCGTTACCCACTCCCTCAAAACTTACCACTACAGATACGCTGACATGAATCACGTACTTGATTCGAACACAAAATGTGTTACAATATTTTTTGGCACAGTTCTATGTAGTCTTACAAACGCAACTTCAATTGTGCTAATATTGCCAATCATACTTAAGGAAAAAATAATATATAAATTAGGCAGACAAGTTTTTTCAAAATGCAATACCAAACACCTCTTTTATTAATTGATCAATTTTTTTTATGTAAAAAGCCTCATTTTGTTTAGGTTTTGTTGACACTAGCAAACGACAAAAGACATTGGTAAAGATTCTGAGGTAACCATTTTTTGTGTCTCTGAGAACGAATATCAGAGGAATTTTGATTTAGTCCTGTCTGTTATTTTTACACAAACTTAATCTTCCTTATATTTTGATGAGAAGTTTTTTTTTTTTTTTTAAAAAATCAAAAATATATATGAGATCTAATTTTCTTAACAATTGTCCATTTTTTACACGCAGCTTTATTTGGATAGGGTTCGAAAACATTAATCGTTTTTGTAACTTCTGAAGAAAAAAAAACGCCTGAGACTTTATTTTCATTCTTTTTTTACATTAATTACCCAGAGTAAAATTTAAAGAGGATCATTACAATTATACACAGAAACTATGCATTTTTATTCATATAAAAGTTTCTCTCTCTGACACCAGCTAAGTAAATAATCTTGTTTTTTTTTAATGATGACTGTGGAAACTTTTTTTAAAATAAAATGTGATAAAACAAATCTAAGAACACGTGTATTTTTGCTCTTATAGTCATCGAACAGCATAATAGCTTATAATTATTTGTTTTCCTTTAATGGGATAAAACATTTTGTATTATTGATGTACATGTAAGGTATAGTGTAACCATTTGTTACTTAAACTTGAAAGCTTTTTGGCTGTGTGATTTTACCTCTACGTATTTGCCGAACAAGAATATTCCTACCGAAACCAGTTTTTGTATAAAAAAAAG